TAAATATTATTTCCCTTTGACTTTCATAGTTTCATCAAATCTATTCTCAAGTTGCAGATCTGGAGGCAGAGATGCTGAGTTTGCAAGTAGAGAATAAACAATCATAAAAAACAAGTTTCTATCATCCTGTTTATCAGTCTTACTAAAATCCACAACAAAAAGAAAATATAGACAGACACCGCACACATGCTGGATGCTGAGTTGGATTTCTTTAATATGTTGTTCATTTCTGCACGTCTCTCCTATGAATTTAATATTAATATGGCGCTGCTGAGGAAGTCTGAGCGGAGCAGGAAGGGAGGAGCAGCGGAGGCTGTAGGCTTGGCTTTGCAGGAGGTCTGCAATGCAGCGGGTGGAGGATAGACCAGGCCTTTCTGTGACATGGGCGCCTCTGCAGGGTGAAGGTGGAGCTCAGTGCTGCTCTGTCTGTTTTCACAATAAACAGTCAGATAAACATTAATCAAATGAACATTTTGTCAGATAAAACCAGCCAAGCCTCCTCTGACCAGACGTTTAACCAGACGCTCCAATATTCCCGCCCATTCTTACGTCGTTATGACCCAGCTGTGTCACCGTAGAAACGGCGGCCGCTCTGACTGACCCAGCTGTGTCACCGTAGAAACGGCGGCCGCTCTGACTGCAGCGCCTCAGGTCACCGTCTCTTTGTTTCCTCCACAGGTCGGCGCGCTGCCTTCCTCCTGATGGACCGACCTGCAGACACGGTAGAACCACACTGGACCCCCCGGCGTCCTTCACTGCGTCCCGTAGCGATCCCACAGGCAGCTGACTGAGCTGCGTTTCTATGCAACCTGCCCTGAGCGCCGCCGCCCCCCGGTGGAGCGGCCGGGGATGGCGGCTGCTCCTGCCATGACCAGACTGTTCTGCTGCTCCACCAGAACCCCCACCAGATGAACGGCCGCTGAAGGTTTTGTACGTATGACGTTTGAACAGAGCGAGTCTCCTGCAGCGGTTCTGGTTCTGGGCGGACCCGGACTCGGGTCCCTCCAGGAACCAGTGCTTAGCATGTCAGGAACGCCACAGACACGTAATGTGAAACCTGAGCGACGCCGTTCTTTCCTCACCGAGGAAACGGCAGGAAAAGGTCGACTGAATCGTTTCTTTTGTATTTGGATGTAAATTTACACTATTTATAAATTCCTATTTATTGCTTGGAAATATTTGTGGATGGAATGCTGTAACTTTTCTCTAGACTTCCTGCCATTCAATCTGAGGAGGCTGATTTTTCCTCCCGGCTCCTTCATGTTTTCTATAGAAACTGCTGAGTCAGTGTTGTACAGAGACTGGAACTGGTTTATTGTTGGGAGGATGGTTTTGGCCTCAATAAACAACAAACATCTTTATTTCCGTCTGTTTTCTGCCTTATTGATCATCATTGACAGGGGGGGGGCGTGACTGAAACTAGCTGGTGGGTTTAACTGGATAATATAGAGCAGATTACAGAAGGCCAGTGGAACCAGTGCTCCCAGTGCCTGAGCTCCGTACAGTCATGGCCAAAAGTTTAAGGAATGATCCAAATGTTAATATTTCCAAAGTCTACTGCTTCAGTTTTTATAACAGTAATCTGCATAAACTCCAGAATGTTCTAAAGAGTGATCAGCGTAACAGCAATTAATTGCAAAGTCAATATTTGCCTAGAAAATGAACTTTATCCCTAAACACATTTCATGGTGATTGCAGCGCTGCCTTAAAGGAGCAGCTACCATGGTTCCAGTGATTGGTCCATTAACAGGTGTGGGTGGTGATGAG